CTTCTCCAGATCACAATGACGCCCCACACAACCGGCAATTCGAATATAGCTCTTAGCTCTGGCCACAATAGCGGAATTAGCATTATCTGCAAGATCGACGTTTCGGTAATGTTGAATCGGTTTTAGAACCGATATGGTCAGTTTCACGAGTCTGTCAGTGTTGCGCAAAACGCCATTGATGGTCCACAAACAGGCCATAACCTCGTTGAGCTCCGAACGAGCAAGTTTGGCTACGCTTTTGAAAAGATCGTTTTGCACTTCTTTTAGAAGACTGTTGTGAGCAGACGAAAGGTACGGCAGGACACAGCGATAGATAACCACCACCGATCTGAAAATGAACAAATCTTCAGCAGTGGCAAGATTGCCGATGTAAGGGTGAAGAGTCTCCAGTTGGTCAGGGCTGAACAGCTTCGCATTTGCCTTGGCAAAGACTGTGATCGTTTGAAGGAGAGCCTGCTGAAGCTCCTTCTCCGAGCCCTCATCAACTAACTTTTCGAACATCGTTGCAACCATCGCTTTGCAAACCTTGAAGTTCAACGACGCCGTCTTGGAATTGTCCGATAGAAGCTTTTTCAAACAAAACCCTAATGTTTCGAGAGCGGTCTCGCTGCGCTGCACCAAGCTTACGATCAACGTCACCCGCTCACCTAGACCAACCTTGAGCTTCGAGCCATCCTGTGATGAATCGATAAGCTCATGAAACGGGGTAAGCCAGATCTCCTCGAAAGTCTGCCGCGCCAATGTGGCTACGCTTTCTTCTGTATCCGTTGTCCGTTGGAGAAAGCTATCCACTATAGCCAGCTTCAATTCGGTGCGAGACGTCTTAAGATAGATATCTTTTAGCAACCCAATGCAGCGCTTTCTCACACCGGCTGTAGGATCGGCTGCGCAAGTCAAAATGCTCCTACACCCATCCTCTTCCAACTTCGGTTTGAGAGCAATGCATTTGGCGATCAGCGAGAGCGCCGAGTCGCGAACCATCGGCGAGGCATCCGCAGCACATCGAAGTATAACACGCATGACTGATGCGTCTCTGTCTAGAAGACTTGGGTCTTTTTCGAGCATGTAGATCACGCTTTTTAGGCTCCGACTACGAACCTTTGCCTGATCGCTAGTAATCGAGTTGAGGAGGACTTTCAGGATCGTGTCGAAAGCCTTGCAAAAGCTCGAGTTTAAAACGGTCAAAATGTATGCAAACCGCCCGTGAGCAGTTGATATCCTATCGAAGTGTCTGAAATAGCAGCGTTAGCATTTTGAAGCGAATGAATATATCCATTTGATCGAGTCCGTACCTATGAGTTTCCAACCACAGCGGCTCCGAGAACAACTTCGTCAAGAGAACTATGAGGCTCTCAGTAGCTTCGCCGTCAGGAACATCGTCCCTTTCTTCGGAATTATAATAGACAGAACAGACGGTCTTTGCCCATTGCGCCAAGTAATAACCCCGAGCACTGGAGAGCTGCCAGTTGTCCGATGACTGAGCCTGAAGAAAGTACTCGAGAGCTATTCGATACGGACCTTCTGGCACAACCAGATCTTGGGGAAGTAAGGCATGGTTGGAGTAGTCCTCAAACAACTGTTTCAAATAGACACTGAGATCACTGTCGGACTCTTCCATCGAGGGAAGTAAGTGCTGAGCGGTCACGACTAGATCGGATATGGCGGATCCCATCCAGCCCAGAAGCTCCAGAGCCATGCTTTTCGCAGTGGCAGGGCTCTTATCAAGGTCTGCAATACCGACCATGTGAGACGCCATGATGCGAAGAAGTAGTTCAGCAGCAGGCCAATCTGTTGAGCCCAGGACGCCAATAAGATCCTCGGTGAAGATATCAAGAATGTTCCGAAAGGGTTGGTCGCCAGTCTTGGTAGATGTCATTGCACGTTGAACTATGAACTTGACGATATACTGCGCACTGCGGACCGCATTATCATAGAGACGATTAACTTTAGTTGCAAGACGCTCCAGGGATGCATCTGTTTGATCCTCGTCGTCATCTTCGTCCAAGTCTTCCTCACTTTCATGTGGCTCTTCGCCATCATCACCAGCCGAGAGAGTACGCTTCGCCTTGCGTGTTTTGGACGATGGAGTGTCAAGGGCAGTGGTCTGGACAAGCTGCATGACCAAAGCAGTTAGAAGCTGAATACTCTTACCATCGGCGAGCTTGAATTGCCTGGCACTCTGCCGCGTAGACGGAAGCTTTTCCAGAGAAACAAGAATCTCGTCAAGAATGAATGGACGCTGAGCAGGATACCTGGAGAAAATCTTTGCTAGGACGTCCATTGCTCCGCGGCGAACTGATTCATACTTTTGAAAGCCGACAGCAGAGTCCTTTTCGGAATGCGCGTTCTCCACGAAAATTAGCTTTGCAGCGAAAAACTCAGTCGCGGTGATTGTCCCTTCAGAGACATCAATGCGCGACAGAAAGTCGGCAAATAGGCCAAGAATCTTTTTACTTTGCTGGATGACACCCCCTATAACACGCTTCTGGGAAGAGAAGAACTCAAAATACCTGGCTTCTTTGCCTCCAGGGCGGGCCTCGACTGCTGGAATGACGCAGTGATCGAAAATCTGATTGAATACATTTGGAATGGCCTCGATCAGATCCTCCGGACAGAGATCCCTTTCCGTCCGAGAGCCAGACATTGTCTGCAACAGTGTACCCACTGCGAGCAGAGCATTGAGCATATCATCGACTTTTTGGAGCCACTCTTGGGTTTCAGAATCATTTGAAGGATCGTCCAACCTGAGATCGGGCGATTGTGCGGCAATGATTGGCCTTTCACAAAGTTTTCGTAGTCTACTCAAATACTCCGATGGGATGTCTTGAAGCCGGTTGAAACTAACAACCTTTTTCATGGCCTTCTGAAGACGGCTGTGAGCGTCAGATGAGAGGACAGGCCTATTTGCGTCAAGGGATTGAGCGACCGAAAAAACGGCATCTTGTCGTTCGGCCGATCCACCAGCAGTTGTTTCTGTTTCAATTTGATCCTCCGCCTGGAAAACCTCATGAAACAGATCCTGTAGCTTTACAAGAGCCGCATCTGCCTCCTCTTTTTGATCCTTGAGTCGAATCATAGTAAGGTCCTCCACATCGTTATTTAGCTTTCTCTTCTTCGAAGCGCCATGTTGGTTCAGAGTATGTGTCGACTTGACTGGAATCACGACAGACAGCTGGCTTGCCGGGTAAGGCGATTGACTGTAAGACGCCGGGGTAGCATTATTCGCTCGATGCGCTTGCTCGTTCCACGCTGGGGATTTCCTCATTGGCTTTTCAATCTTGACCTCCGTCGAGGTAGGATCTGTGACGGATCAGCTTAAGAGCACGTTGTTTCTGAATGCAATATTTTGAGACTTACATCGAAATGCTATGTCCGTAGCATCCAACATCATTTTTGCAAACGGGCCAAGTTCGTTCCGACCAGAACCCTGCTCCGAGGGTGGGCTAGGAAGGGAACTCTTGGCCTGAGCGGATCCAGGGGGGAGTTTGAACTTGCTGGGAATGATTTAGTTGCTGGGTATCGTACCATTGCTACAGATCAATGGAGCTTACAATTCTGTCAACTGGTCACCGTCAAGCAGTTGCTGTAGATATTCGCGAGATGTCTCTAACCGACTCGACTCATCATGCCCGGATTGTATCTCTGCATTTAGTTCATTCAAAACCGTTCGGCCCGACTGAAGGATATGATTGATAGAGGTGGTAGTGGGAGGTCGGCCAACATCAGGGCGCAGTATACAGTCTAAAGAGTATCATGAGTGAGTTTAACTTCACCATTCAAGTGAGACATTCAGGATGCATACCTAACCCAAACACTGGCGCGCTAGACATAGGTGAGTACTGCAAAGCTTCATCAACAGACAATGGCCTGGTCCGGTGTTGCGAAAGTCCTCCAGCGCCATGGCCGTGCGCCTGAGGACGGCCATTGATGACGACCTGGACAGCCGGGCTCCAGTTTTGGTCCATGGCGGCAATTTGACTTTAATGTATGAGTGACTTAGGAAGGAGAGGCGAGACACAGAAACAGGAGAGGCATGTCCTGCTCAGAGACATGACTATCAGCGAAGAAAGTCAACTCTCACTCCAGTCATCCTTCCCTGAGATGCTCTTGATACAGCGACGCAATACTTAAGCAACCAACAATAATAATTGCTGCCAGGCACACTCTCTTGCTGCCGCCGTTGACCGCCCGGCAGTAGTCCTTAGTTACGGGAGGCTACATAAGCAGGTGGTCCGTGCTGCAGGTCTTCCAAGCGGCAGCATCTCAGCGGGAAAAAAAAGTTCGGAGTTTTCTGGTTATGTACTCGATAACATCTGTTCTGTCTCCTGCTTAACTCCTCCTCAATACTCTCAGGTTGAAGATCAATCTCCAACATCTGTCGATACTGAAAACTTGACTTGCACAATGTCTGCCATTGGATCTTTAATTTTCTGCACAGACTGTGGAAATCTCCTACCGGAGTCGACTGGTGATCCGACTAAGGTCCTTGTCTGCGATGTTTGCGGCGCTCGGAATAAAGGTTTGTTGATCTCATTGTGAGGGTTTGAGGCGAGCGCTTGCGCTAACTTGCCCTCAGATACTGTTCCCAACACGATCATCTCTGAGTCAAAACCGAATGCCTTCCCGTCGACGTTAAGAGCCAAGAGATCTGCAGTTCAGACCTTGACGGCTGAAGATAAGCGAACTGAAGCACTGACACAACATACATGTGCCAGATGTGGGAGGAAGGAGATGTACTTCACAACTGTGCAGTTGCGCAGTGCAGATGAAGGAAGTACAGTGTTCTACACCTGTGTCTGCGGTTACAAGTACGCAACGTCCACCGTTGGCTCCAATTGCATCTGCGGGCTCAATACTGATATTTATCTGACTGCAGGGAAACCACGAACAACTAGGAGACCGAAGGAGTATCTATTCGAGATTATGATTGTACGTCTATGGGAGCAACGAATCAAACGCAATACCGATATTGTAAAGCTATACCTTCGACAACGGGTCATTCAAGCAGCAGCAACGCCAGCATCAGGCACCAAAGCATATTCAACTTCACCATTCTTTTCATACTCCGCCATATCGAGAGCCACAATGACACTGTCTCTTACCACCTGCTCCGGGTCGTTCAAGAATTTTCTTAGCGTCTCCTCGACACCCTCACAGTCGCCCAAGCTTCCCAACGCCTCGGCCGCTTCGTGTCGCACCATACCGGCCTCGCTTTGGTTGCTAAGCGCTTCAGTAAGGCTTGGAATTGACGCAGGGTGGCAAAGTTGTCCAAAGACAAACGCAATCTCATGACGGAAAAGTGCAGACGGATCTTTGAGGCCCTTGGCCAGCGCCTCAACAGCGCGAGTCGCTGTGGGAAGATCGGGAGGAGAAGCAAGGTCGCGCAAGGCGAACATCGCACGGTATCTCTGAAACAATGGTAGACTTGTGTCGAGTAGAGTCTTCTCTATTTCGGGAATGGAAGGTTCACTGGCCGCCATGGGTAGTGGTGGAGCGGGGTCGATCGAGGTAAAGTCACTGCGAATTGGTGCACATGATACAATAAGCATTTGCGAAAAGAAAGAGAAACAGGGTGGATTGATACGGACGCCTCATACCTTGTCTTTAATTTCTCAGCTTTCCTTGCCTCTGAATTTTCCCACAGAATCCTGTCCACTGCAATATCGCAGGTCTCTCTGATAACATCGGACTCATTCTGATTGTCTCTAAGAGCCTTCAAGATCTCCAAGCTGTCTTCGTAACCCAAGGCGCCCAGAGCCTCTGCGGCTTCATGACGGCACATCGTATCTTGCTCCGTGTCCTTCGCGACTTGCTGTAGGAACGGCACAGACTCTGGATTGCGGGTCTGGCCCAAGCAATATGCAAGTTCATGTTTCAGCAAGGCGGATGGTGAAGTAAAGGCAGCAGCAATAGCCTGAATTGCGGGCAGTGTCTTCTCAGTAGGCGGCTGCAGGCACGCAAGGTGCTTCAAGGAGAACAAGGCACGGAATCGGCGAGCGAGCGGCTCCGATTCGGAAGTGAGGACTTTGCGAAGAGTGAGGATGGTGGGATCCACGCCCTCTAGAGTATCGGTTGCAGAAGGGGCCATGGTGGTATGCCGAAGGCGGTTGGAGAAGATGACTGGTTGAAATTGAAACTGATCGGATTAGAGGAGGCTAGAGCATAAACATTTACTCAGAGAGCGTGAGCTTCTAAATTTTCAGATCTTATCTCAACGAGATAATAAATTTTAGGTGGGGTGGCGGGGGTGGCCGCAGCGACTAGGCCTAACTCGCAGTTCTTCACAGCGCCGTCCATCTTCAGATCCGATGTGTGTTATAGTCGTGTGATTGCAGCTCAAACACTTCGCTACTGATTATTTGTTCAGAACTCAAGGCGATATGATGCATTCGATTTTAGGATAGGACTGGTTGAGCGTACGTTTGTTCAACTCAGCTTGGAGCCTTGGACCACCTGTCTCACGGGTAAACATCCTACCAATATTGGCTTATGGCGGTTCGTGTTGGACTACTTTCGATTAATTAGCCACACTCCTTCTAGATCTTCCATTAGAATACATAGCCATCTGGACCTTCATAGTTGTTATTATATCAATGATACTATGATCATACGATACACGTAGTTCTCCACGCCGACTTGGCAGGCACAGGATAGCTCATCCGGACCATCATACAGGCCAGACTTAAGTGAATCTGCTTGAAAGTCGCTCAATACCTCCTCAGTCAAAGGACTGTTGCGGAAAGGATTAAGGTTGCCAATTCCTCACACGCGTCCTCTGTAGAAGACTCAGACTCGGGATTGCACCAAGTTGAAGCTCAGAATTGAAAAGAAAAGCGAGGAGCACGGTTCGCTAAGTTGTCGGCAGAGCATGATATCCGTTAATGCAGTGTCTTCAAGCAGTACGCCTGTTTGGTGAAAGACAAATGAAAAAGCACTAAAATCCATTTAACCTATGGAACCAACCCTTCAAACCCCAGAAGCTTGCAGTTATATACACAGTACACTTGAACAACACAATCACTTGGTTCTGATGTGCTTGAGCTTCTTTGGTTCGTGGACGAAGTTGTTTGCATAAGCCTTAGGGACGAAGCGGCGCTCATTGGGTTCCTGGACGAAGTACTCGTATCCCTGCTTCTGCGCGAACATGATCGCATCTTCTTTGGACTTGAAGTTCAGGTGAGTACCCTGCATGAAATCACCGGAAGACTGCCAACCCATCAAAGGGTTCTCCCAACGGTGACCTTTCTGCAGAATGTCCCAGTCCATTCTCCAGTGATGGCTGTGCCAGGTACCGGACTGCGTTGCAGGCTTCGAAGGCTTGTAAATCCTAGTAGTATGGTCAGAAAGCGGCGGGTGACGCAGGTAAATCTAAATCTGTACCTAACAGTTCGAGCTTGAAGGTCTGTAGGAGCCCCGGAGAGAACAGCAGCAGCCACAGTGTCGCCAGGCTCGCTACCATCCATGACACGCTTGGGCACAGGGGAGTATTGTCTGGATTGCCATCAGTAGAGTTCTCGGGTATTAGCCAGGCTTCCCTTACGAGGTAGCATGGTCAATTGTGGCCTCATAATCGGGCTGATGACGAGCCATTGCTTGAGATGGCGTCTCCTTGCGAACCAAGGAGCTCTCTGAAACGCGTGCGGAGGGTGCGTCTGCTGGGCTGGTCTTGATACCGTGGTCACCAGAACGGTTTTGCGTGGAGATGAAACGCGCATTGATGGGCACAGTGATTCTGCTCGCCCGAAGGCAGGCAGAGCTACCTGCTCTGAAGACGGACATGTTCTCAGATATATCTGACTTGGATTCAGGTGAACGGCCGACAGCGGGAAAGTAATATCTCGAGTGAGGTATGCGGCGAGGTCTGGAGGTTGCGGCAGAACCAAATCCGGTTTAGCGCATCTTGAGGCTCCCTCGTTAGGAACCGCTCATCCGACAACCCGCGATCTCAGAGGCACATCCTCACTACTTCGTCTTCATCGATTGTACGGTTCACACGCCTGTCCTTAGGTACGTAAACGTGCTGGGTGGTGTTCATATTTTCAATGTCATTCAGAAGCGGTACCGGATATTAACTCAGATTCAAATCCAGCCAACATGAGCTACATCGCCCGCCGAGGTCTCTCGACCTTGATTCCCCCCAAGGTAAGGAAGAATAGCAAATACTCGGAGATTGCATTTATTTGATCCCAGTGAAGACATGCTAATCAGCTCCTAGATTGCTTCTCCCAATGTGAGTCACCTTATGGCGTCCCCTCGATACTCTTCACGTTCTTCAGTACCCTCCTTCAGTGAAGGCTTTTCACCACGACCTTGAGCATCGATCGCAAACAAACACCGGCTCTCCTTATCATGCAATGACTGACATTCTACAAAGGCCATCGGTGCCGCTAAGGATGCCGCTCGCATGGAGCGCGTTGTGAACTTCTACGCCAGACTCCCTCGCGGTGCCGCTCCCGAGGCTAAGCCCACTGGCCTCATTGGACGCTACCAGGCTCGTTACTTTGGCAAGAACCCTTCTGCTGCCCGTGAGTAGTCCCAGACGACTTGAGTTTGTACATGACGATTGCTGATATTAATCACTGCAGCTCTTGCTCACGCCATTGGTGGTATCCTTCTCATCGGCTACAGCATGGAGTACTACTTCCACCTTCGTACGTTTTCTTTTCGACCATGGAGATAATTCACGTTGCTAACAGTTACAGGCCACCACAAGAACCACCCTCACTAAATGCTTGAGCTTTGTGTGGCTTGCGGAGGATCTGTGTATATACCAGCAAACCTAGATGGAAGCAATGTAGAAGAGGCATACCTCCAGCCCAGTTGCTCTGGCCTTGATACCGGCTTTTTCTCTTCCAATCCGGTTGAATATGTACAGCGACTGTCGCTGTGTAGTGATCAGTTGCATAGCAGATGAGGTGTAGATATAGGATTTGAAGAGTGTCGCCGATCCCAACACCAACCTTTGTTTCTCCTATGATCTTTATGTGAAATTTCAAGGACTGAAAGACCAAATATTCATGATCATTTTCAATTTTAAATATCTTAGCGACACATTATAATCCGCTTGCCAGTGACACATCTCATCCTTCCGGCTCCAGCCACAAGTTTTTGACTCTATTTCATTTTCGTTCCACACTAACCCAAAACAGCCACCTCACCTCCAACATGAGCCGTCACCCATGACTGCAGCCCTCACCCGGTCATCAAACCTGAGAAAGACAACTCATATTGCGACCTCCCATTTGGGATTTCTTGGGCAGTGGCGTTTAGTATTATATCGCATCCATTTCGCCTGCCCGTTCCTTACGAGCTTTATTTCCAGCCTTTGGATTTGTGCACCTCCCACCGCGCACTTAGTCTCGTCGTTTGGAGCCTTTTCCCCCCAAGCTCAAACAATTCAGCTAGCAGTCTAAACGTGGCGATTCTTGATACCTGGTAATAGGTATTTCTCCTAACGTTTCCTCCGTGCCTTCTTTATGAGTTATATGGATTCTGCGGCGACTATCCCAGCGTTCACAGTTACAAGACCAGTGTCTAACAGATGTCGCAACCTGCGGATCTCACAGACTCGGGAATTGTTATGGCAGAGCAGAGCAGCCACGATGTGGTAAATCAGACCCTGTCGGGCGGCGAGCCTTCGCCTTCCGACGTTCCTGCGAGCACCAAAGACAAGATATCTGCTGGAGGGGACGTGGGGGAGACTCAACATACCACCGCAACGACACAGACGACGACGGAAACGAACGATCCACAAAGCCAACCAGAGCCCAGTGCTTCCGACTCATCACCCGCGAAGAATGAGACGGAAAATGATTCTGAACGACCATCGACAGTGAGTCTCTACACGAACGAATATGAAAGTGAATGCGCCACTGAATGCGTTATAGGAAAAGGATATCTTAAAGCAGGGGCCCGGGCCAGTCGCTTCGCGAGCACTCGAAATGAACGGAGTAGCCTCGGTGTCGGATGCAGGAGAGGATACGGCTTCCCAGGGTGGCTCGGAGTCGGATGCCAGTCGAACAGACGGTAAGCGTGCCGGCTCGAAGAAGCCGACAACGTTCAAACCGGTTTCTTTCGCCAAATTTTCCGTGCCAAAAGCTCCGGGAGCGCTTGCGACAGCTAAGCCGTCTGATAAAGGTACAGACAACCTCAACTTCGTTCGAGTAATTTGTCTTCTAACTTGACGTAGCCCCCTCTTTGACTACGCCGTTAGGCGGGCCATTACAGAGCTCTCGCCCGCGCTTGGTGGCCAAGACGACCAGCAGCCTTCGTGACTCGCTCTCAAAGTCGGGAACAGGTGCAGGCAAGGCAGGTGGGGGTGGACCTGATCCAAATCAGGTCTGGAACAAGAATAGACGTAAGGCACTGCTTGTCCTTTCTCTCGAGAACAAACCCCTCTAACATCTGAGTTCTAAAGCTGTGCAACCTACGCCACCAAAGCATTTGACAGATGAAGAACTGAAGCAGCAATACGGAATTCATATGACTTCTCGCATCCAAGAAGATGGTGGTGGGACCGAGGCGAAATGGGCCGATATCGATGACGACGAAGATGACTGGGCTCCTGAGACGATCGAATGGACTGACGGCACTAAGACGAGCCTTACTACTCATACGGAGGCAGTACACACTTCCGGCCAAGATACTAAGACAGCGAACGAAGCGAAGGTCGACTCTCCTGCACCAGAGCAAGTCCCTGCCGTTAAAGAGGTGACCAAAATTGTCACGAAACCTACAACAACTATCGGACCCAATCCTACCGTTCTCAGGCTTGGCGCAAATGCGGAAAGGCAGGCGAAGAGCGCAACCCTCTTGTCGAAAGGACCAAATGACAAAGCATCGCTGGCGTCCACAAGTCCAGCTCCTCCATCTAAATCACCTTGGGCCCCACTGCCGCCAGTTGAAAAGTTATCCCCGGTTATGCCGCCTGTTCAAGTTCAACCTCCCGGACGTGTTCCTGTCAAAGAACACCAAGTCAGCGAACCACCTACCGGAATTGTCCACCCCAAGGAGATTGCGGCGGATGACTTCAATCGGTCGTGGAAGGACACGCACTCTGGAACAACTCGTGAATTGTACAACTCTAGATCGGGTCGCTATGAGCCTGTACCAGAGGTTAGGAAAGCACCGTGGCGAGCTGAGCAGCAAGGCTTCCGCCCTTCTTCACTTTTACAGCGGCCGACACCAGGTGAGCAGGCAGGACCTGCGGAGCCTTCTCCAGCATTTCAAACTCATCGGTCAAGCGGCCAAGATGCCGGGCATTGGACGCGTCGGCGAACTTCATCCAACGTCAGCGGAGGAAGTGGAAGCTTTGGACGTCGGATGTCGATCGGTCGCCCTGATGGGCTGCAGAGAACGTTTGAAGCAAGAAGAGGCTCGCAGGTCAATGGAATCATAGACCCGTCCCTTTACAACAAAGAGATGGTGCATCCGAAGGACGCATCTATGCATGAGGTTTCCTCTGCCCGCCATCCTCCAGGTCCAACATGGCCCCCACGTGCAGCTGCGGGCGCGCCTGACACTGTTGCGAACGCACCTCGAGCTGAGTCTCAGCCATCAGTGCCTTCGGCTCCAGAAGCTCAGGATGCTACAGCGCAAGCGCCGCAGGAAGACCCCGTCGCGATGCAGGAACGTATTATGAAGGAAAAGCGACTTGAAGCTCGGCAGCGCAGGTTAGAGCAAGAAGAGAAAGAGGAAGCTGCAAAGCGTGAAAGAATTCGACAGAAGCTGGAAGCACTGGGCCCACCGCCCGAGAAACCAAAATCTAAACACAGGGAGTCTCTGGAAGGTGATAAAGCTGAAGCGAAGGCGTCCCTGACCGTCACACAAGCAGCACAATCCCCTCCTAAACCACCGGTACCGGAACCAACTGGTGAACCGAAGCAGTACGGGATGATGAAAGTCCATCATCCCGACGCCGTCAAAAAGCTCGTCGCCGCGAATGAAAAAGAGAGAGCTGCTGAGCGGTCGGCTCCCACGGTCAATGCTCGGCGTCCTACTTCGCCAGCTCGCGAGCCTAAACTCGAGGCTACCACAGGACCTCAAGAGCCTAGCGATTTTCGGCAGGGCCGTCTTCCTGAGAAATTGCCCGAATCAACAATTGAAGAGCCGAATTCCCAATGGAAGAGTAATCTTAGTGCTTCGAGCTCATATTCCCCTTGGTCTTCAAATACTAAACTCGGGGCCGCCTCTTCTTCTATTGCCAATCCCTGGAAGCCTCTCAGCAACGATAAGACCCTGGGTAATGGCATATTTGATCAAGCCCTCGGGGGCTTCCCGTCGAGAGACATCTCCCTTCGTGGTCCTCTCGGCCTCGACCAGCCTCCAATCTCTTCTGGCCCACAACCGTTTTCTGCCCCCTCTCGACCCCAACAGGAGCCTACGTCAATCTCTCCGTTGCCTTCTACCGATGTTCGACATGCGCAGTACGACTCTATGACCCCGGTTGTCCGACCAGGGCCTATCGGGCCTCCAAGCGTACACCAGTCTCATTGGCAACAGGAATCGCGTGTCACCGGTACTACCGCTTGGAATAATTTCCACGCGGTTGCTGCTAAACGTGAAGCTGAAGAGAATGAGAAGCTCCTAACTGAGATGAACACAATGCGTGATAGCCAGCCTTTGCATGTCACATTCAATGAAACATGGCGGCAGGTTCGCACTGGCGACCAGAGTGGACAGAGGCAGGCTGTCGGTATTCATAGACCAACCGACACTACAAGTTCGATCTCCAACCATCTGCCTGGTTTCGATCATACTGTCGCGACTCTACCCTTCGCTGATACTCATGCTCGTCCACTGAGTAGTGTGCCAGTTCGCAGTTCTCGATTCTTCCCTCAGGCCACGGAGCAATATAAAAGGCCAGCCTTTGAGGAAGATGAACATTTCCGAAGCCCGTCTCCACCACCCCCAGAGGAACTGTCGAGTCATCCAGTATATATGAGTGATTCTACCCGCCCTTTGGTCCACCTTCCCGCCCCTAAGCCGATTGTCAAACTTCCTCCAAAAATCCTTGCGCCACCGCCGCCACCTACATTTGCTTCTATGGTTGCTGCTCCTCCTCGCGTCCCAGCTCAAGCTCATCCCGTCTCAACCGCAACCTCCTGGCAGGAGAAGATCAATTGTCTTTTCGGCAAGAAGACTGTACATGAGAAGAAGAACGCTTTGGCAGTCACGTCAGCATCGAAAGAACCTCTTGATGTCCAGCTGCATATTGCCTCAGTGTCTGTATCTCTCCCCCATCTTGCTGAGAATATGACCCAAGTTGGCGACGGATTAGCCAGCGCCAAGCAAGTCGAAGAGGCCGAGGAGATCTTTGAGGATCGCGAAGCAGGTTCTTTACCTGTTGTTCGAGTTCCCAATGCTGCACCTCCAGCAGCTTGGCATGCCGCTCCAGCACCATCGCAATCCCGGTTGCGGTTCAAGAGTCTCAAGCCAATGCAAATTCACAGCATCGAGCCTTATCTTCTGGGCCTCAGTGACAGGGACTCATCTGGCAATTTTCGGGTGTCCGTCCGCTTCCCCGGCGCTATCGCCGCGAAAACTGTGACTCTTCCAAAGAAGGCAGGAAGTCATAATCCTCGACAGCGCGGGCCCTCGACCTTCAAACCACGAAAGAATACAAAAGCTCGGGAAGGACCTGGAATCTCTAATACCAAGAAGACAACCACTGCTCAGCAGAACGGCGGCAGCGGCTCTTCGCCCCGGCATCAACCGCGGAATACAGCGTGGGCACCGCGCACAATTAGCGGATCTCACTAAACTGGTCCAGCTTATTCATGTAGAGGAATGCGCCTCTAGTCTTCGAACTACGTCTGTTAGCTCTGCCGTGGCAATTCTCGGGTTTCGGATATTCATTCAGCGGTTTCTTTCGGTAACTGGTGAGCAACGCATGTGGGATATCGAACGGGTCTGCGTTTGCCTTGAACTTCTAGTACTCTTCTCAATGTCCTTTGCATCGTACATTATCCTCATCTTCTCCCTCATCAGTACTCGATTCGAAGTAACAGTCTCTCTTTGAGAGACAGAACAATCACACATAACATTCTCTTCCTCATACACCCGCCATCACTTCAACCTCGATTCTCTGTTGATCAGTCGATCTTCGTGCTACTTAATATGTATCATTCTCCATGCAGCTGTTCTATCACTTATTCTTCGAAGTCTTCCTGGTAATTCAGAAAAAGGCACAAGACAGCTCCACGTATCATTTTCAGTGCCTGAATCAATGCAAGATGAAACAAACCCACAACTAGTGCTGTATTTTAAGTTCGGCTATGTAGCTTTGTGCTCAACTTACGCATCTGAATCCTTTATTCGATCAGCTGCATTTCCAGAGCCCATAAGGGATACTGATTTTATCAGTTCAGCTGTATGGCTGCCACTCTGGACCTACTGAGTGTTCGCAGTAGCTCTTTGCGTCGTGTAGGTTCACCCAGAAGCCATAGCCAAGTATATCTACGTTTGTTGTCTAACCGGACGATGATGGCAGCGGACAGAATCAAAGATCATTATACTCTAGATGCTTTGCAAATATCGACAGAATGTGGTATTCAGACATACGCCCGTCATCTAACAAGTTGGAAGTGATAATACACAAATCGCTTAAAGGGACCATCTTTTCACCACGGGACCCGAACGCCAGCCCAATGTCACCCACCAGTAGCAGACCCAAACACCTTTGCTTGAAAGACACAGTACAAAGGAAACATTTCTTGGAACAACTAGGATGCTCACCAGTTCCACGTCCGGCTTGAAGCGGTGAACACAGGAGGTTTCCACTGAAGGCGTGCTGGGTCGATCTTGCGAGCTCCCTTGAGCTTCTCTTTTTCAAGACGCTTCTTGTGCTGTTCAACTACGTAGTCGGTGAGAACGATGACCCAGTTTCCTTTCTATGAGGTAGTCAGTTATCTGTTTCAAGCTTCAAGTGGGATGGGGTGGGGACGCATACATAGTACCGGAGCATATTCAGGACGACCAGAGTCTCATGGACATCTTTCTCAGTCATCGAAGTTAATAGAGCGAGCTCATTCTCACTGACTGTTTCTCGTCCAGGCTCCATGAGTATTTCGACGAGCGTTTCTCGCCAGTATTGACGGTAACCCAGTAGACCAAGGTCACTGAGCGGCTTTTCAGGAGAGCCGAGCTTTCCCTCGCGCTTGCTGAGCTCGTAGCTGAAGGAGATAAGCAGCCGACCGAACCCACGCCGCTGGTACTGAGGTAATGTCAAGATACAAGCCAAATTGTAGCCCTCCGCGGAATCCTTCTCCTTGGAGAAGTAGCCCACAAGATGGCAGCCTGACTCATCTCTCGTGCACATACAGTAGAAGAGGAAAGGGTCGACATCGTAGTATAGGGTTTTGTGATCAAGGAAGAGTTTGCTCAGCAGACAAAGGTTACGGCACCAGGTCCGCTGGCGGCGGCCATCAACTTCGAAAAAAGAGATGTAGTCATCGCGGTATATCTCGTTGCCAGGAGGATGGACAAGCGTGCACTTGGTACGGTGGCGCTCAAAGGCACGTTTGTCGTCGAAATAGCTCAGGCAGAACTCGTCGATATAGATGATATCAACGTCTGAGAAGGAAGCGGGATACGGCGAGAAGTACCAAGGCTCAATGTCGTATTTGCCCATTTGAAGTCGATTCAAATTACGCACGCGATGGATTTCCGTCGGGTTCTGTGTCATACTACCGCTCGTTCGCAGTCGTTCGATCTCTTCTTCGCGCGACATGAGCCCTAACGCTCTCTCCTCTTCTTTGATGCTTTTGCCGTCCGTGAAACTGACGTCAACCATTTCGACATCATCAGACTCGGCCTTAGGGGTTCCGTCCGTTGAGATGGCCTCTGCAGAGATGATAGGCATACTGAGAGGAGTCCCGTCACGATTCTCTTTGCCACCTGCCTTGGACGGGCGTTGCGCCTTGCCAACATTCACATTCTTGCCTGTGAGAAGATCTGGAGTTGCAGAGACATCACGGCTGTCGGCTCTCGCACGCTTCTGCACGTTTTTGCTCGGCGCTTTGTTGCCAGCACCGGTCTTCTTCTTCTCTGGTTTCTCCGGCTGAGGCCACTCAACTTCGTGAGTTAGGTCTAGTCGAGAAGCGTCAACCCATTCTAGTTGGATATGTCAGATTGTCCACATTCAGATGCACAAGGACTGAAGGGTACTCACCATCCAGACGTTTGTTGAAATCGACATAGTGAACACTGTACATATCATCAGCATGAGGAACCCCGATACGACCAGCAGAGCTCAGTGTTGAGGACGCACTAGAAGCTAGGACCATCTTTACGCTGCCTAATCGACAGAATTTCTGCTTTTCTCAACTCGCCATCCTATACCAACCCAAATATCAGCAACCACATTCACTCCCGTTCGATTATGTCACGTGACAAACATCGAACGATGCTAGAAACAATGCAGGAACAACTGACCTTCTGTACCATCGCCTTAACACCGATCCTATCGCGATGATTAGTTTATGCGACCGATGAAAGTCATGCAGGAGACTCTAATAATGTTTTTTTCTCGAGTATCCAGCAGCAAGTTGTCAACTTACCGGATGGTGGTAAGGGTGGCAAAGCCCTTCTCAACAGGGTCGGGCGTCCCAGTGGCCTCCCCATGAGAATCCCGAACTCCCATGGTGATTCAAACCCAGATCTCAACAGTTTAGAGATGTCTCTGTGACAGAAAACCTGGTTTGGATGAAGTGCACGATGAAATATCTGATTCTTTCGCAGGAGTTGATGGAGGTTTGGTTCAGTGAAGCTGCCTGGGAGACCGCCTTTGAACCGGCCTTTTCACTGTCCGCTTTTGGCAACCTCACAGATTGAGGGAGTAACTACAGCGCACAATCTGTCCATCACTGAGTAGAATTCAGGATTTCCTTGAATTTGGGTCTGATACTAAGCATATATGCAGGGAGAGGTCCCACAAATACTTCTTACTACCACGAATCATGAACTGTCTAATAGTAAGAAAATCAGAATAGTGAACTAGTTTACATCCTAGGTATCATCGTTGCTTATGCCATCAGTGCCATCCATTGACAACTGACTCTGTCCCGGCAACAAGCTCATCCAGCTCCTCCTTTCTAATCCTGTACGTTTCTTGAGCTTCCCGTTCTCTCTTCAAGATGAAGGCAACGTCGTCGCGGAGCTTCTCGAGCCTTCGCGAGATAGCCGATTCCTCGGAAATTTGTAGGGCCTGGAAAGCATTCAACTCATCCTTCGAATTTTCTAGAGCAGAGCCGGCCTCGACAATCTTGGTTCGAAGGGTCTTCGCACGGTTTTGATAGCCACCGTAGTGTAGCGCTAGCTTCTTCTCAAGCTTGTTTCCTCGCTCTGCGGTAGATAGCAGGGAAGCCTGCACATTGTCGAAAGCGTCAATCATTCGCTGCTCTTGTCGGTACACATCCTCTTCATCGTCGTCGGCGTAGTTGGCGAGCCCTGGGAGGGCGTTGGAGTGCGCCGACGACCAACGATCATCAAAGCCTTGCAGCCATTCCTGTTGCCGATCAGACAAAGCAACTTCCGCTACGATGGCTGCACGCGCTGATTCGATGAGTTCATCGCCGAGTCGCTCCAGTTTCCCTGCCTTGCCTTCAACCTTGCCATTGGGAAGGCGGAATTTTTGAGCGTCATTGGCAATCAACAGAGCTGCTTCCTTAGCGATCATGCCATTGATGGGGTCGGTAACGTGTGAGGCACGCGCCATCAGAGCATCTATATCGAGAACACTTGGGCGTGGCAGTCCCCGCTGGTAGACTTGGCTCTGGCGTTTCAACTCAGCTTGCGCAGCTCTCTCCCGTGCCTCCCTCTCTCTCCGATCAAGTTCTGCAGCATCCTCTTCAGAGATCTCCGCCGCAGCAGTTGGCTCTGCGGACTCCGAGGGGAGTTCTTCGAGTTCCCATTCGGTTTCTTTAGGCTTCGGAAGCGACGCCAACTTGCTACGAATGCCTTGACTGACGGCTTTCTGGTGCAATCTGATATCTCTCGGTGTGCTGCCAATCAACTGTCCGCCTTCCATCTGATTGAGCGCGAACTGATCTCTAGGAGTTCTGAGGGGGGTTGCCCCTGGCCCAATCCCACCATGCAATGGAGTCGCCCCCAAACCATTGGCTTGCCGGAAAGGAGTCGCCATTGGATTCGGCGTAACGATCTGTTGTCGCCGAGGAGCGATGCCATCAAAACCAGTAGAAGAACCTCCTTCGTGCAGAGGCGTATTCTCACCTCCCAACAAAGATGATTGTGTCTCAGTAAGGGCTCTGATATTTCGGATCTCATTGGCGATATGATCCTCCTCTGGCGGAGCTCGTGGTGTCCTAATCGGTGTCCCTCCGACGATAGAAGTGTAGTTACCGATCAAACCTCGAGTTGTTTCTTCGTCGCCAGACATCTTACTGGCCCTGTCTCCGGCCATGCCCATTTTGATAATGTCCTCCATTTCGCTTTCGCTCACTTGAGGAGTTGGCAGGACAAGCGCTCGTCTCTTACTGCTCTGCTCAGCCTCGCGAATCTTCTGCATTTGGCCGGCCCTTGCGGCAGCAGCGAAAGCGGAGCTACCATTCTTGTCGTTCTTTCTCTTCTTCCTATCCGCGTCTTCTTCCTGATCCCCTTTTCGCTTGTTCGCAAGTTGTTGTTTTCGAGGATCAAACATTTCTCGCTGTCTTTCGTTTCGAGATTCCTCTTCCATGGTATCGTAAAATCCAGGTGCTGCTGGCTTCTCAAATGGGATGTCTGCGTTATAGTCCATTTCCCCCTTCTTCCGGGTAACGACTTTGATATTGATGCCAGCATTTTTGAGTTCACGACGTTTTTGCAAAACAGCGAGTCTTCGGGACTCTTCGAGCTGCCGTTCTCTAGCCTTGCGCTTCGCCTTCTTTCCTTGGGTGTTCGCCAAACGAGCCCGAGCTTCACTCAGCATTTCCTTCTCGTCTTCGTCGAGATCAATCGTGTCGGGACGGGCAGGCTTCGATTCCGGATCGGGATCTAATTCACCAGGTCTTTAAAATATCAGCAGAGCGAACGTCCTTTCAATCAGTGGGACCTCATACCTTAACCGTCTCACATCGTCCGCACTAGGCGCAGCCGCCTCGCCGCCAGAGGGACCTCCTAATCCCAGCTCATCGTTTTCCCGGGCCTCGGCTTCATCTAGCAGTTTCTGATAGCGTTCAAGGCATTGTGTTGCTGTCCTTCCGACGATAGGGGCGATTGTACGCCATTGTGTTGGCATCAACTTCGCTAGATGCAACAGTTTCTCGTCTTCTTCCCTCGACCATTCGACCTTGCGAATACCAGGGTCCAACCACTCTACCCATCGTGCTTTGCATTGTTTAGGCGTCTTCCTCGCAAGTAGCGAAGAGACACGCGCCCATTGGTTCAGACCATACTTGGATACCTAGACGAAAGAAAGACGTGTCAGCTCACGAACTCTGGTCGTCTTTCGAGTGAGGTAGAACGCAAGACATACAGCCGCCCGGAGAACTTCATCCTCAATATTGGTCCTAATCACGCCATTAGCCATGCTGAGCTCCTCAAGAATCGAAAGTGTAGATAGACTTACCAGACTCCTCCTTTGACAACGGGCATGGCGAATGTGGTCGCTCAGCGCGAACGATTTCCACGAAGAAATTTGTGTACTGATAGACAAATAAAAGGATCTTCAAATTTCTCCGATGCAGTAAGTTAAACTGCGCTGGCCAGAGTCGATAGTAAATCGACGCGGGTCAGAAAGCGAGATTCAAGCAGGAAGGTCTTTAACTTGAGCGGCCACACCACTTACGCCGCAAAGGAACATTAGCGCGGCAGCCGCCCTAGCGTCGCCCCCGCGATACCACATTAGGTAAGCGGGTCCAGATTTTTGGAATTTCTTCAGATTGTTATCGCAGCGACAAAAAAAAAGACACAAAACTACAAATTGACAATCTGAATTTGACTGCAAAGGGCTTCATAATGTCGGCCACGGTTGAAGCTCCAAATCAATTCAAGCAACCTTCCCGTAAGGGCAAGAAGGCCTGGAGAAAAAATGTCGACGTTACGGAGGTCCAGGAAGGCCTTCGCCTTCTGAAAGATGAAGAAATCAAAGGGTATGTGCCCTCGAATGGACTCTTGTCTAGAAAGCCTGCTCCGATCTTATATGCTGATGTAATTCCTTCTTTACAGTGGTGTTCTAGCAGAAAAGCCTTCAGAGGAATTGTTCGTCATCGACAAGAAGGGCTCCGCCGAGATCAGAAATGCATACTTCAAACAGAACAAGCCTCTGAAGGCCGATGAGATCCTAGCCCAGCGTTCTGCAATTCCTGCAGTCGATACCCGCAAACGTTTGAACTCGAAAGTCACAGACGGTGTGATCGAACCGAAATCCAAGAGGCACAAGAGCGACTGGGTCACCCGCAAGGAATGGCTGCGCTTGAAGCAGGTGGCCAAGGAAGCGAATCCGACTCAGAAGGCGGAAGGAAGCGAACTTTATGACCCTTGGGCAGATGCTGAAGACCCAACACCTGTTGAAGACCCTCAGTTTGATTACCTCGAGAAGCCCAAGCCCAAAGTTGCACCTCCGACGATCAAGCACCCTCCAATCTCACTTGCCGCGAATGGAAAGCCAATTCCGTCTGTTCGTACACCAGATGCTGGCATCAGTTACAACCCATCATTTGAGGATTGGGATCGTCTTCTACAAGAGAAGGGACAAGAAGCCGTAGATGCTGAGAAGAAGCGCTTGGAAGAAGAGCGGAAGGAGCAAGAGAGGCAGCGCCTTATTGCCGAGGCACAAAATGATGATGGTGAAGTCAAATCTGACGATGAGAGTGCCTGGGAGGGATTCGAAAGCGAATACGAGAAACCAGAGTGGCTGAACAAGAAGCGTCCAGCGCGGAAGACGAAGGCAGAGAGAAATAAGATCAAGAGGCGCAAGGAGGCCGAAAGGAAAGCTAAATGGGAAGCCAAGATGAAACAGAAGGAAGAGCAACTTGAGCAAGCGAAGACTATCGCGGAACAGGTGCAGCAGAGACAACTCGAACGCAGTCAGGAGTCTGAAGATGATTCTTCCGAAGAGGGAGATGATGTCGCTTTGCGGCGTAAGCCATTGGGCAAATCCCGGTATGTTTTTCTTTTGATCTCGATTTCCGGGTCTCACACGTACTGACTTGGCAATAGTGTGCCCGAGAAACCGTTGGAGGTTGTACTCCCAGACGAACTTCAAGACTCATTACGTCTACTGAAGCCGGAAGGAAATCTACTAGATGACCGCTTCCGCACGTTAATAGTGCAAGGAAAGCTGGAATCTCGCAAGCCGGTGACACAGGCCAAGAAGGCAAAGAGGAAGCTGACGGAGAAGTGGACATACAAGGATTTCAAAGTCCCAGGATTGGAGATTTGATAATTGGATTTCTTTTTTTTTTTTTTTTTCTTTTGCACTTCACAAAAGCGTGTTGCTATGGACTGGCTTTGCAATATAGAAATCATCCCACATTCTCATCTCGCAAATCGACCTCAGTCACTCAAGCTACCATGTTGCTGTGACCCCAATGCTAGGTAAGATAGATCTGCTATCGGCTCTATAAGCCAATAGATCCACGGAGTGCATTAACCGTAGTGTTCGAGACTAAACCAGTTGCCTGAGTGGGGCCGAAGGTTGTCCAAATTTTTAGTGCCATCTATCTAATCGCCGATTTTTTAGAGAACGATACGGAATGTTACTGCCATACCCTTCTCAACACCACCTCCTCTTTCCATCAGACCATCATGATGCTTTAGTATCACACATACCTTTGGCATGGACGTCAATAATCTTTCCAGTAATTGGAAGAAACTTCAGGAGACGCTGAAAAAACAAAGCGCTTCGTCGGCCTCTAAAAAACGCAAGACATCAGACCGCGACACACAGAATGTTGCAGTCAAGAAGCAGAAAACAGAGTCAATAGAGCGCAAGAAGTCTTCAATAGAAAAGAGAAGAATGCCCGAGGAACGGGAGCATGGACGGGACAGGAGCGCACAGGAATCTGTGGTGAAAACTATTTCCCGCAAAAGCTCTACGGCTACGATCTCCGAGCACTCACGGACTGAGTCTAAGACAGCAAAAGTTAACGAGGGCCGTTCACCTACGTTAGTACTTTCTATCCTATATATATTATCTGCACCATCTAACCCCTCTTCAGCGCAGAAATAGGTAAATATGTCGCTATGGACTGCGAAATGGTGGGAGTCGGTCCCAACCCCGATGACGATTCTGCCCTCGCGCGTGTCAGTATTGTCAACTTCAACGGCGAACAAGTATATGATTCGTACGTCAGGCCCAAAGAGATGGTTACAGATTGGCGGACGCATGTGAGCGGCATTTCTCCAAAACACATGGCGGAGGCTCGATCCCTCGAACAAGTCCAGAAGGACGTTGCAGAGATTCTTGACGGGCGAATACTCGTTGGACATGCTGTGAGCAATGACTTGGATGCTCTTCTTCTGAGCCATCCCAAGCGCGACATCAGAGACACAAGCAAGCATCCTCCTTACCGAAAGATCGCTGGTGGCGGCTCTCCACGCCTGAAAATCCTGGCGTCTGAGTTCCTAGGCCTGAATATTCAAGACGGGGCGCACTCTAGTGTCGAGGATGCCAAGGCTACGATGCTCCTGTATAGACGAGATAAAGAGGCATTCGAGCGGGAGCATATGAAGAAATGGCCAATTCGCGTCGCTGTCGACAAAAAGGAAAATGGCGAGGACCAGAAGAAAAAGAAGAAGAAGAAGAAGAAGCCTCGTAAGAGGTAGTGAAACCTCATAGCTGCAGTTGAAGACCTTATATACCCCTAGACTTCTGTCTCTTGTGTACATATCGCATCATCCATTATTTGAAGGACTAGCTTCGAATAATCTGATAATTTTGGAAAAACTTTTTTTTATTATTTCTGATTGAATTCAGTATATACCTCTGTCATTCTCATTTCCATCTTTGGTCCAGCATCGTTAAGTATTTCCGCAGGTCTATTCTACATTGAATCTGCACCAATTTGACCGTTTTGGGATGGCGCTTTTCCTATAACCTATCCACTTAACGCGGGCAACGCGTCGTGTCAGCTTGTTCCGAATAACAACCACACTGCTACAGCAAAACATCCCTTCTAAAAAAGTACAGGCATTGAACAAGCGCTAACTAATTTTTAACTCCTTTTCTGATTGCTTTGCAACCTGCATAAAGTACTCAAGACTTTCTTTCCTTCAGCTGGTCTAGAAATGTTTGCCATCCAAGCATCTCAAAAACAGGCATCTGCAGCCGATAATGAGAAGTCGATGGAGAATTGCATCCCTAATATCCTTCCCTGTAGAATCCACCATGATGGGTTCGTTGAGACGCTAGAGCGTTACTGGAACCCTGTGTCAGATGAGAAGAGTAAGCATTGTGTTACGCCCACGGAGTCAATTTTCCTGGGTCTCTCTGTCTGTCTGCTAACATTGACGTAGATGAGAGCCTACAGACTGCTTACTTCCGAGGACGCAAGCTTCGAGGCCGACGTGTTGCAATTCCGGAAGGCTATCAGGGTACGATCTGCATCCGCTGACCATGTGTAATATAATAGTTAACCTGGCCCTACAGGAATAGTTGTGCAGCCTACTGAGCGTGTTCTACCGCCTAAGAGAAGTGACACTGGATATGAGACCGAAAATATTCAAATCGAGCAGGAAGAGCCGACCAAGGTACTAGAAAAACAGGCTACTTTTGACGAATTCATGGTCTGGGGCCATGAAGAGGTGCCGGCGGCCGATGATGCTTTCGTCAAGGGAGCCGAAGAATGGCTGAAGATGGCTGAAGCGGTATGCAGAGACAACCGTTGACCAGACTCGTAGCTAACTTTCTATCCAGTTACATACGCAATCTAGCGACGCAAAGACAAGTACCACTTGAATTATCGGTGCTGTTTGAGCCGAACCAATGACTCATAACCACTCATCCGAGCCTGGGATGCAGGCCCAGCTGCCTGAGCGATTTGTTCTTCAGGCGCTGGCTGCTCAGTTGCAAGTGCAATGAGCTATCTAAGCGACATCGTTCGAAGTAACGCCGAGCTGCTAGTTCGAGTTCTTTTCACCTCGGGTTAGCGGATGGGTGCCAGACTAAGTACCGAGTCATGCGAAATGTTGCTCTTGAAAATCAGCCGCTCTCTTCGTGTTGACTTCTACTCACGTCTTATGGAAGCAATGGACTGAAAACTGAAGCCCGACAACGAGATTACACCGCTGAAATGAGGTGTCCACGCTGTGTCGCTGGGAAGGTGTGACTGCCCGTATCTGCTAGGGATACAGTCATCGGGACTCTTCGTTTTCAGTTTAATGGCCTTTTTACAGCATTTTCTATATAGATATTTTACTATTCATGCTGCAGATATGACCTGTCTTCGTATTGATAAGATAAGCTCTTGACCGCCTGATAAGTGTAGGTTCTGCCCGAACGATTTGGGGTAGGGATAACATTGAAATTCCCAACTGCTGCCCATTATTGCTTTATCGTCAATTGCCTCCTTTCAAGTCACAATGCAGATCCTCGGCAGTGGAGAGAAGATTATCCCCGAGGCTTTAATTCCCAAGTTTGAAATCAACAGACTTCTCAAGCAAGGTAAAAACATGCCCGCTCAAGGTTTATATTCACAAGGCCCAGGGTCCCTGATACACATCACGCCGTTACTGAATTGACCGCATGTAGCTGATTTGTGGATCTCTATAGATCAAAATGGCCGCCGTATCGCCATACTCGGGGCTATTGACGGCAAGCAAGGCATCCTGATTGCAGAACGAGCAGCATTCGCAACCGAATCCCTCGAAGTCCTTAAGGCATTCCACGCTGCAATCAGCAGAGTGAAGAATCTCGGCGACAATGACATATACCGGTGGTACTTGGCATCGTCAGGCGCAGGCCAGGTTGAACCGCCGTTTCACGACCTCAAACTCAATCTCATATGGCCTTGCACGGAAAAGCACATCAAAAAATACTCAGATCAGCTACTACGCATGGTGACCGAGACGCCGGAGATCTACCGTGACTATGTGCGGCCGTATATGAGCGCTCAACGGGAGGAAGGCAGACTGAACTGGGTCTTTAATATCCTGGAAGGCCGGACGGAGCAGGAGGACGTGATTCTACGGGATGCGGGCGAGGGCCCCGATGATGGGTTCCTGATGCTCCCTGACCTCAACTGGGACAGAAAGACGATGAGCTCTCTGCATTTGCTGGCCCTCGTGCAACGGCGAGATATCTGGAGTTTGCGTGATCTCAAGAAGAAGCATATCCCTTGGTTGCGGTATCTGAGGCAGAGGCTGCTTGAGGGAACAGTGAAGATGTATCCAGAATTGGAGCAGGACCAGCTGAAGCTATACGTTCATTGTAAGTATTATCCATTAGGGCTGCCCTGGTTTTGCCTGTGTCGATGTAATGTGTACTAATTGTGATGCTAGACCAACCGACCTACTACCACTTTCACATCCACGTGGTCAACGTCATGCTCGAGGCGGGTGCGACACAAGCAACAGGAAAAGCCTTCGGGCTGGAAAATCTCATTTCTCAATTGGAGACTCTCTCTGGGGACCAGGATGCAAGCATTGCGGATGTCAGTTTGACATACTACCTCGGAGAGGCCAGCGAGCTGTGGACGAATGTCTTCTATCCGCTGAAGAACGGGTCGAAGCCAGCAACTGGGAACTGAGAGTGACTGGTCATGACTGATGATACTTAGAATTATGCTAGAAGTGTCTACCGTTTATGATATATGAAGGAGAAATGACCATTATACTAGATAGTCTTCCAAGCAGATTCATTTACAACTGACGCTTCCAATCACATTTAAGCTCCCAAAGAGCTGTATCTATTAGGTTCCTGAAATTGCGGGCAGATCTTTGTTTTTAGAGAAGCCTAAATATGTGGAAGCATAAGTTGACAGTTTTGTATGTATTTATTTCCCGAAACGGAATTTCTTCAACCCCGCAAGGCGACGTCAATCACCCCTCACCACGCAACCGTAATTCCATCGTTTTACAAACCCCCAACAATCCTTCCATAAACTTTTTCCGACAAACTCTGAGCTCAAATCGACCTGTAATCTACGAAACTTTTAATCAATCAGTGTTCAAGACAGCTCGACGCTCGACCCCATCATGGCAGAGCATGTGGATGTCCCCAACACAAACAAGGCCTTCGTGCCTCTTGGTAAGTACCATATCTCCAAGCTCATCAACGGTCCAAAGTATAGATACTAATACCTTCGCAGAAAACAACCCAGAAGTCATGTCCCACCTTGTCCACCAATTAGGCCTCCCACCCACCCTCGGCTTCACAGACATCTACTCAATCGACGAGCCCGACCTCCTCGCCTTCGTCCCCCGCCCCTCACACGCTCTTCTCCTCGTTTTCCCCGTCTCTCCATCCTACGAAGCCTCCCGCATCGCTGAGGATGGTCCCTTACCCGAATACATTGGCTCCGGCCCCGCAGAGCCAGTGATGTGGTTCAAGCAGACGATCCGCAACGCCTGCGGGCTGATCGGACTCCTGCACGCCGTGGCGAACGGCGAGCCGCGCAGACATGTCATCCCTGGCTCCGATCTGGACAATCTCCTGCGCGAAGCGGAGCCACTGGGTCCCATCACTAGGGCAGATCTGCTCTATGAGAGTAAGGCGTTGGAGAGTGCGCATGCGGACGCCGCGCGGTTAGGGGATACGGCTGCGCCACAGGCGGAGGATAACGTCGATTTGCATTTCGTGGCGTTTGTGAAGGGGTCTGATGGGCGCCTGTGGGAGCTTGATGGTAGGAGAAAAGGGCCGTTGGAGAGAGGACGGTTGGCTGATGATGAGGATGCGTTGAGTGAGAGGGCGCTGGAGTTGGGGGTCAGGAGGTTTCTGAAGACGGAGGCTGCGGGGGGTAATCCGGATCTGAGATTCAGTTTGGTCAGTCTGGGGCCTTCTTTCGATTGAGGCTGTTGACGGGGCTTTACCGGTGGTTGAAGTTGTTGATCATGGCGTGGTACGTTACGGATGTGTACAGTTTTAGACAGGTTGGGAGGCTATCATGCCTCATCTACAGGCGTCTCTGGCGTTTGAACTGTCTTCCCAGATAATCAGATTCAGTGCATCATGGACAATGTCGAAGCTGCTATTTTGAATGCCAGATGAACCTTGAGATCATGGTAGCTACACAAGTCTGGAACTTCCTCTCTATCTCTTCGAGGTCGGAATCTTGCTTGGAAATCTGCTCCCGGCTCACCTCAGCCACCTGCTTCGAGGACATGCCACCTCTTGCCACTCGAGTGCCACCTCCGCTCATGGTTCCTGACACGTCGATCGACAGGCCGTCAAGAGTGACTACTCTCCACCGTCTAGCACCGTAAGCAATGCGGTTGGCCTGCTCCAAGGTCTTTGGCGACATTTACAAGCGCATTGAATGCCTCATCTCTTAGGAGTGAATAAAACCTTAGGCTTCAACCCACCAGTCTTCTGAATTGAACTTCAAAGCTTCATTCCCACAGGCCCACCAGCCGGCAGTCAAATTACGCGCAAATACTTCCAACGCAGAGTACGCCGCGCAAGTATCGCCCGTCGTTGGGCCAGCCGCTGACCCCGTGAAGAATACCTGCTCAAAAAGCTCCTTGAGATTTGGCTTTCGAGAATGCACGTCCGGGACCCCCGCGATGAACCTCCGCGTAATAGCATCAACGGCATCAGACGGCCGATCCGCTCTCCTTCCAATCACAAGGACCTCGTACGGCTTCCGCCATAGCCCGTCCAGCGGCGTGATGGGCTCGCCCTTTGTCGTCGTCTTAATCCACACCCATTCTTCGTACACGGACAACCCAGCTCCCTTAATAGCATCGTAGGCAGCTCTACGTGCCTTTGGCGCGTTAGTTATCCAGATTGCTGCGATGGATACACTCTCCGGATTGTCCGATAGATGGATCTTCAGGATATCCCCTATGCGCTTGGACAGTAAGCCCATTTCAGAATATGGCTGTGTCTGATAATGCCCGCTGCGACGACAAGAGCGGTTTGACCACGGCGGGTCAAGGAGGATCAAGTTGAATTTGCGGGCCGGAGATAGACCCGGAATAGGCCCCTTGCTCGCCTCGTCCTCTGCCAATAGCGGTAGCGAGCACAGCAAGAAAGTAGACAACGGCGGGACGGAGAAGACATGCCGATGCGCCGTCGCTACCTCGCATTGCTCGGGATCGGCCTCCATCTTGCAGCAGACGTCCAGCAACGCTTGCGCCGAAGACGTATTCCTAGCTACGACGTTGCAAAGTTCCGCCATGGATCCGAACATATTCAATCCCGGCGACAGGATAACCGGCGGGCTGGTAGGAGCAGCGACCCCCAGCGCACTATCCGCTGAGCACCCATCCTCGCACGAGGACGTTCTGCTCCAAGGTCCGTCTCGTTTTCTCCTCAGCTGCGACTCTTCATCTCGGACCTTTCTCAAGCGACACCAGTCTGCAGAGTCCGAGTGGGCCCCGCTAATCTCCTGCAATGCCCATCGAACCAGAGGCTCAATGACCTCGGTCTGGAAGGCTCGTTCAGAGACCGGAATTCTACTGAGAACTCTAGCCCTCGCAGCATCCGACTTTGGCTCCGTAGATACTGTGTAGGGCTTCTCTAGGGGGCTTGAAGATAAGAGATGACGTTTCCTGTGATTGTCTATCCCTGCAGGGTAGGGATTGCACAGTGTGGCTCCCAACTGCACTGGCGAAAGTTCCTGTGCGGACGCGATAGACGTCGGGATATCGATCAAGAAGATTGTTTTTTCTGCATTTTGATAGAGGATGGAGTGTTGTGGCATCATCCCATGATGGTATCAGCTGGTTGTGGTTCCCAAGTGGGATGGGTTAATGTGTTGTTGGAAGGAGAATCCAGCGACTACGCGAAATCATCGATTTTCAGAGCCCGCAAAGAGTCATCATTACCAGCAACACCAAATTGGAGGCAGTCACCATTAATAAAGAACAAATATGGAATTACACTGCATGCAGCGATGGAATTTAAAGACTTTTCGTGGGGGCATAACATGGTGAATCTTACTTGCTGTACAGGCGTTACAATTCTTTTACATGAGATCACTCAGGACTGCGCATCACCCATTCAAGAACTCATTAAAACCCTATATAAGCCCTCCGCCTCTGAGTGAGGCGTCAGAGCTCTCAAGGCAAGCAGCGGCAGTAGCCACCGCCGATGAAACTATATTTGACAAAACTGATCATGACCGCACCGTATGCTGATGACTGTCGTGATATCAAGACTCGTTGACCGAGTATGAGACAAGTATTCTCAAGCAGATACGAACTGCAATACTTTTCCACGTGTCGTTCCTCTTCCCCCTCCCCGAGACGTGCCAGCGTCAGTCTAGGTATGTAGGGTCGTTTCGCTCCAGAAAAGCAGGTTTTCCTTTTTTGATTTATGCTGAAAACAAACAGGAAGAGATAAATTTGTACAAGGCGTAGACTTTCATCACAAAGTTGGTTCAGAGCGTCGAACATGCAAAATCAACGCTAAGCAACACAGTTAGGTCATGCACCATATCCACCATTCTGAGAGGAACTTACACGGCCGCGACGTCCCCCAGCCGACTGTCCAGGGGCCTGAGGTGTTTGCGAATAGAATTGAGGAGGATACTGATACATCTGGGGCGTGCCCATGACAGGGCTGAACTGCTGAGGAGCAAAGGCCTGCTGGTTCAGCAATTGAGCGGGTGTTCCAGGCATAGGAGCAGACTGCCGAAGACCGTCCACGGACGGTGCTCCGGCTGGGTAGCCAAAGCTGGGGTTACCCAGGGTAGGATAAAGACCAGCGGGCGAGACGCCTCGAGATTGGGCGGCCAGGTAAGCTTGATACTGCAGCTGTTGCTGAGTGAGGGGCATCAGGGGATCCTGGACAAACCCAGCACCATTCATACCAGCAAGTCCATTGAGAGGGTTGACCGCGCCGGTGGGGCTCATGCCATTGACAGCATTGATCGAGTAGGGGTCGAATGGCGTAGCGCTTGGTTGCTGCTCAGAAATGGACCTCGTGTTGTCCATGTTTTGAGCAAGAAGACCGGGCGCGAACTGTCCATTATACTGCCTATCCATGGCCGATTGTCCTTGCCGAGAAGTGGGACGATGCTGCTTATTTTCAGAATGACCTGAATGTTCACGCCCGTGATGATTGTCCCGAGCGCCTCCACGTGAAGATAGTCCAACCTCATCCATGAGGCGCTTGTAGCCTTGGTTGGGAGTTGCCTTCAATTTTGTGAGCACCTTTGCCACATTCTTCACGACTTCCGCACGCATTGACTCGTCGAAGAAAGGGGTGGTCAAGACCTTGAAGATCAGTGTGGCTCCAGAAGTCTGGTCACTCAAGATCTTCTCCAAAACCTCGTCCCCAGGGCTGAAGAACAATGCCCTTAAAACGATCTCGCGAGCCTCGGGCTCGTTGCGCTGATTAATCACTTTGAGCACGGTCAGATAAGCGACCTTGTGAGTGCACAAATGGACCAGATGAGGAACAAGCCGTGGAGCAAGTACGGTACGGCGACGAGGGAACGTGCAGGTGTCCAGGAACCAAGTTAGCAGCAAGGCGCCGTTTGCATTTGTCGCGAGCTGTACGCTGTGAAGGGCAATGGCAGCCGCAAGCATCCGTTGCTGTTCTTTTGAGGCGTGGTGGCTTTCGAGACAGGCTCGCATAGCT